TATTACTTTATGTATAAATAAAAGAAGTTTTTCAATAAGGTTTGTGCTTTCTATATTATAATATACCTCTTATATCTCAAAAATCTCTTACATCTGGCATGCGTCAGATGGATTTACCCTGGAGAGGTTATTCTCCTCATTAAGTCTGCAGTTTTACATTGATATAATTTACTTTTCAGTAATTCAACTGTGTACAACAGGAAAAAAGAAAACAAAAAAAGACTAATTATAAAAATCAAAAAGAAAATAATCACAATTACGAGAAATAAATATTACTTGGACAATCTAAGTAATTATTTTTCACAAAATAAAAATGATCATTTTAATATAAGCAAGTCAAAAATTTGGGCACATATTATAAGCAAAAAGAGTGTGGTTGAGGATGTCAAAGCGCAAAAGAGAAATAGAAATGGCAGTTGCAAGTGTTAAAACTTTATCGATTTAAAACTTTTTAACTTCATAGAATTGAAAAAGGTGTATCATTATTTAAAAACAAGTTGCTAAAGTAAACTTGAATTGCAAATCGTTTCGTAATCCATTATCTTGTCATACACCTGTCTGACCATTGAGACGGTTTTTCCTATTATCGCCTAGCCGTTCATGATTATATGGGTGATGATGCATCAAGTGGTCTTCTTCCTAAAACAGTGAACAGAAAAATAGTAGAAATAATATTTTTCTCTTTTAAGTATTAGTGTCATAATTAGTCATATATTTCTTTGTGTTAAACATGCATGAGCTGTTATTGAATTTTGTTCGTTTTAGAATTTTGAAGCAAAGCATTTTTAATTAGATCATGCATTCTGTCTAGGTATACACCAGTTTTTTAACTGGTGTTGAGGCATAGAGCAAACATTTTTCTACAAAATGAGAGATTCCGCAGCTATGATCGAATCTTGATAATCCATGCATAGCAATTTTCCCGAATGCCGCAACACCAGTTAAAAACTAGTGCATACATAATTCTGTCTTTTAAAATATCTTTCCACTAATCAACTATAAATTATTTCATCACAAGTGTAATATATCAAGGGATAATTGAATATTGTCGTACACATTCAAGTTCATGTACTAAACAGACATTGGTAATACTGTTTGCTTGATACACTGAATATGTTTCTGGTTGATTCTTTAACCTAAAGTTAGAGTGAGTTTTTAGGGCAAGAAGACACTACTATAATAAATGACTATGTGAATAGACTCGTTAAACAATTTCATGTAAACGTCAAGCATAGACTAATATCATACAGTAAAAATCAAAAGTTCTTTTAAAATATTTTGGCAAATCAAAGCAAAATACACTCGAGTAATATATAATTATGCAAAGAAGAGTTAATGCATAAAACATAAATCATATGTATTTAGTTTAAATATATCAGACTAGAAAGCAAAAAATTTTCATAGCCTGTAAACACAAAATTTACAGCATCGTCTTCTGGTTGACCAATATTAACCGGAATTTTATTTCTGGAAAAGTTTGTTTGTTAATTCGAATATGATAATGATCTCTGTCCCATCGTAAAAGTCTATAATGATGAATTATTCTGTTTATAACACAAAATCACTTTCACTGAGAGATGATGCCTAACTTTCGAGATTATGGTTCGATTTAAAAAAACAGAAGAAGATGCGGATAATTTAAGAGATAACTGGCGAACTTTTATTTTCAGCCTGTCCATGAGGACTATATCTGCTTAGCATTAACAGTTACAGCATTTTAATTGTTATTATCAGGTGGATACTGCAGATGCATAAAGTGCGGTATTGAATGTGCAGCTGTTAAAAAAACGATATAAATTTAACAGGCGTTTCTTTTTTAGGTTAAAATCTAATCAGCAGCAAACAATCGCAAATGTTCTACTATTAAACATTTTTTAAAAGAATATGTGTGACTACTTTTTGAAGAACTGTCGATCGCAAAGTGTTAAGAGATCGGCGACTTTCACCAATCGAAAGAAGAGGCTCGAGAACATTTGTTCAAAAGGAAAATAGTTTTTAAGATCTTTCGGTGAAGAAGATTTTCAAGTCTGAGGAAAACTAGACCATGGTTCAAAAATCTAAAATAGGAATCTAATGGCTTTTCCCATGGATAAAATAGCTTGTTTATGTTCTAACTCCCTCCATTCATAGATCCTGATAGTTTAATCGAATCAATCATCATCTCTATTTTAGTTCAACAATTGTATGTATTTAGAATCCAATCTCAAGACATCCCTTATTTTTCTCATCTTGAGGCTTTCATTCTCTGATATTTATCCTTATCTTACGAAGCTCTCTTGACAAGTGGAGATCTTAAGTCTTATCCAGTTAGAAATCCGTCTATATATTCTAGCTTAAGCTCTTCAGCCAACGCGTTTTCTCTTAACTGTAATCCGTTTATTACCACCGCACTAACAATACTACTCTTGATTAGTTCTGTATCCTTCTATATGGAATCCCCTCTTATTTCTGATCCGTGTACTGTTTGATGTTCTATACACTACACTCTTCATTAAACATTCGACATTGATATTTCTGTTTATAACATACCTATATTCGAATAGATTTTTCTAAATATAATTTTGTAAAACTAACTAGTGAAAGGTCTGTGTCTTATTGAACGGTTATCACTTTTCAGTTATTGTTCCTGAACTATCATAGGAACGATCCAACAGTTCACGTTCATAGGAACAAGAAAGGCTCGCAAGTTCTAGTTAATTCGAATGGGAACTACAGTTACTTTTAGATTAGGAATTGCTGATGCTCTTCTTCTTATACTCTGTAATGCTCTTCCCAAAATTTCAGACAACTTTTTTCTCACCATTGGTCCCTTAGCTGCTATTGATATTTAGTTTGCACATGGTGATAAGTTTATTGAAAGTTTTGTTTCCAATAAGTGTATTCTTCTTGTTCGTAAACCTGTCTTTTGTCCAGCTCATTCTACTCGCACGCTAATCATAAAAAGAAACAAAAATTTTCGTCGTTTAAAGTCTACTTCATCGCTTTCCGATGTTCAATTTTTTAAATCACTTCGTAATGAAGTCATTTGTTCTGTTCGCAGCGGTAAAAAATTACATTTCAAGAAAATCCTCTCAGTGTTTAAAAAGAAATCACCTCTCTTTTGGTCAAATTTCGATATGACATGTTCAATAAATACTTTAATCCTCGTGTGTCTGTTAGTTCACATTCAACTACCTTTTCTCAATCCCACAGTCAGACAAATATTTTGGCTGATATAAGTATTTCTACCAGTGATATTCACGATACCGTAAAGTGTATGTCAAACTCTCAAAGTACAGAGATCGATGGTCTTCCTTTAAAATTCTTCAAAATGTGGCAAACAATTATTACACATTTGCAATGTACTATGAAGACAAGTTAATTTCCCTAATAGTGGAAAACCGCTATTGTAGTACTATCCATAAAAAAGGTGCGAGTTCTCTCGTTTCTAACTATTGTTCTATCTTCGTACTTTATCTACGTGGTCTGTAAGCTATTTGAAAAATAATTCATAAACACTGGCTTAATTTCTTCCTGACAATAACCTTTTGTCCGCATCTTAGTTCAATTTCCGCCCTTCTTCCTCAACAACTGACTCTTTACTCATCATTATTCATTGCCTATTTAAAACCGTAAATGATACAGGATGTTGTTTGAGTCTGAGCTTTGATCTTTCAAAGCATTTGGCTAGGTTCCTCATACCGCCTTGCCCCATAAACTTGAATTTGTTGGAATAGAAGGTCATCTCTTGAAATGATTTTCTTCATATCTCTCTAACGGGTCTCGAGTGTCATTCAAAATAAGACCCAAGCGATCTCTAATTTCCATCGTTGATGTGGTGCCGCATTTCCTAGGAGCGCTATTGCTTGACTATTAGTAGTTACCACAAAAAGTTATTGAAAAATAACACGTATTCTTTTAAAAAATGCGTAATACTAATAGTTTAAGGTTTATCTAAACTACTAAACTTCTACCATAGAAATTCGAACCAATCTCCAAAAAGTAGAAAGATAGAAGCGTATTACTTCTAAAAAGCATATTTTATTTACATAATTTCCCTCCTCGCATACATCTTCTGTAACGATAATTAGGGGTGCTTTGTGTTCGTTATTCTGACCGCTTGACAGTTTGTTTATTTGTTCCTAAAAATATGAGATATGCAAGTGAGCAGCAAATACTATGGATTATCATCACATGCACACTTTACTTTACACTAACCAAGATGTTTTTTATCAGTTATCAGTTATAAAATAAGCTTTAGTTCATTCTTTGAAAGTATAAATCTAATGTTATTTATCTTTTATTTATTGACGATATCTCAGTGTTAGTCTTTAAAAAAATTTTCACTGTCCTACCAAAAATATTTCAGTTCAGCATTGGTAAAAAAAACAATATGGCACTACCAGTGCTAACCGATGCCTAGCAAGTGTCGAACCAGTATCAACTGACATTCATGCGCACTGGTAGTACCATATTGATTTTTACCAGTGCTGCACTGAAAATTATTTAGTCATACATTAGTTTTTATCATAGTTGCTTTTAGTTAATTTTGTATTAATCAGAGTTCAGCACTGATATATATATATATCAGTACCAAATTGTCGTGCCATAACCATGAGACACTACCACGGTACTTCTCTTATGAGAAGGAAAGTCAAAAATACAACTGAAGTATTATAAGTATACTAGGATTTTCATATAGACGAACGTTGACAAAACAAAACGGTGACTGAAAACGTTCTCCCATCGGGGCACACTCATGCCTATATAAAGTGTACTCTATGAGTACTTGTTTGGCACCGGTGCGCATCGGTGTCCCGAAAAATAATTGTTCGGCATTGGTGCACAGACATGTACAACCACTATCGATAAAAAAATTTTTGCATGGTAAACACCCTGCATTATGTTGAAAAAAAGATTATCTCATGCAGCCTAAAACTTCATCCATTACTCGGTAATGGATAAAGTTTTGGAAATGGACTTCGTTTGAAAAGAATTCCATTTCTTTTCTTTTTATGATTCTAGCGTATATTTTTATTTAAGCTAATTTTATCTTTTTGAAAATATGTCACCTCTTGAATACTATGCAAATTTCTGAATGATGCACTCGGATAGTCAAGGATCTCTTCCGATGAATACATATCAGGTGGAGGCTAAAATTACTTTTACAATACAAAGAGGAAACAGATATTTTGGTATAGTGTAAAACTTACTGTAATTCCTTCTTTTTGGTCATATTCGACGTCATCTTTTGATATATGAACATTTCGTGTAGCTGACATTCGTCGAACAACTCCTAAGTCTTTTCCGGGTAAAATATCGTCTAACCAATAGAGTTCTTCTTGTGTAAATATTTTGTCCATTAATTTACGGATAAAACATGTTGCAAGTACCTTTTATAAGTTATACAAAATGCAAAAGTGTTTAATCGTTCATAGATATTCTTACCAATAATGGAAATCCAATTGCAATTAATTTAACACTTTTAACAACGAACATTCCAGCTAAAGCTAGAATTTGAATTCCTGTAAAAAGATGGACACGCATAATCGTTACATGGCGTAAATAGGGATGATCCGGTTGATATTTTGATGGCATAAATATCAATAATACACGATCAAAAATCTAAATTACATTGTAAATTAGCCGTTAAAATTCTACCAATCGTTTCTTACCTGCATGCCTCGTAAAGCCGAAACACCCATAAACATGAAAACGCCGTACAGTACTGGCATTGGAATAAACTAAAATTGTTAATATAGTATAACAACAAGCAACACAATAATATATTAGAACATACTCTCAAAATTTTCGTAAAAAAGACACTGAGACCAGTTAATATTGCCATCAATAAACTACTGACTCGTTGTTCACTGTATAGAAAAACAACATTTAATTTATGTTGATATCAAACTGTCGTAACATCACATCTTACAGTATGCCTTCAAATTTTGGTTTTTCTCCTGGTGCTGTATTTTCCGACATTAATTTCAATGCATTGACGTGCGAAAGAGCAAGAACAGTTGCGGCGACGAACCATGGTAGACCCAATAAAGATGAGAACAATATTGTGAGTGATAGTATAAACATATCCAAATGATAACCGCTTTTTTTCTACATAAATTAGATAATTTTTTTTTAAACATCATCAACAACTATATAGACACTTACTTTCAATTTAAATTCTTTACGGTTAATAATGACAGCTGTTATTTGTTGGTCCATAAATATTAGAATTGTTCCTATTAATGCCGGTAGTATAGCCACAGGTATTGTCCAAACTGAATTTTTTCCAGAGTAAAATGGAACAAACCATCCTCGATCATGTGGTCTCGTAGGCTAGAGAAAATAATTAATAAATAGAAAAAGGAAAACTTTATATTTGTCTATCTTTATCGATAATAAATATTTCTCTTAATGATTAATTGTCTTTTACTTTGAATTCATTTGGTAAAAGGAGTTTTGGAGTTGCTAATCCCAGATAGGCATCCCATCCTGACATGGCTATAATGGTAATTAAAACAGCAAAATCACTAATACTTGTTCGAATCTAGAATAGAACGAAATAATTTGTCAAATAACGATTTCTTTCCACTCACTTTATTGTCTTACTTTTGTTGGTAAGAATTGCGAATCGCGAAATTCTTTAAGCACCATGCAAATAAAAAAAGTAAAAATAAATAACAAACACGAGAAAAAGAAAATATCTGAATGATAAAATGGAGTTGAACAACCGGAACCCGTCAAAACACCGCCTAATTTTTTACATAAGATTTGCGTTGTTTTATTCAACACTGTTGAATTAGTGTTGACAAATAAATGATAAACAGTATCGTTTGTCGTAGACAATGTTGTTATATTCGAGAATACACATGAACACGTATGATCAACTAGAATATCTGGCCAGTAATTAACCGGATAATCCTTTTTAATGTTCATTGTCTCTCGGATGGCATCCATAATGAAGATGATTGCTACTAATGAGGCAAAACAATCTTCGGTAAAACGAGTTATGTAACGAACGAGAAAACTTAAGTTAAATATGACAAATATAAGAAGCAATATGAAGATCCAGATACCGATCCATAAACGAAATTCCATGAAATTTAAATGGAAATCCCTAGAAAGAACAATACCTTTGTGTCTAGGAGACTTAAGAAATAAACACCTCTTAATGTCGAATGCATGTAGCTACTCCATTAATCATAGATTATTCTCTTATTAAAGAAATCATAATTTATTCTCCTCATTCAAAAGTTGAGAATGAAGAAACAAGACTTGAGACTTCCGCCTGTTCGAAACAATAATTTTTTGAAAACCGTTCATGTTAAGATAAGTCCACAGTATCTAGGTGACGACATCTGTATCTTTTTAGTCGAAGAGAATAAATCGAAAAACACTCGAGTGTATAGATGTCTAGTATCTGTCGTAAAAATTCGAACCTGGACGGATATATCTTCGATGGGGAAAGACGATACACAATGAAAAACCTGGTTATCTATGAAACCTAGACAAAAATGACTCTAGAAGTTCGGGTAAATAATATACAATATGTTATTTTAAGCTGTACCAAAAGTTTTACCTCTCTACGATTTATGATTACGATTCTGTAACAAGATGAAAAATGATTGAATGGATTCTCTTAAACAATATGATATCGAATGAAGTTGCTTGTGGGATTTATTGGTGACAAAAAGTAAACTATCTAAAATCTCATCAACTACAAGTAGACGTTATCATTAAATTTACATCATCCACCAAAAATGAAGGCAAATGAATTAAAATCGTTTAACCGGCTGTAACTAACGCGTGAAATAACGATATCATTAATGATAAACAAAAATTGTATAATGAATTCATATATTCTCTTGAATCAAACTGTACTTTTCTTCGTCTCTTTACTTTCTAAATAAATAGTAATTGAGTGTTGTACTGCTGTGAATGTATATTAAAGATGCGCAACAGGTTACATACATTTGCAATACATTTGCAACTCTAGCGGCAAGCTCTGCATCAGACAATGTACTTCTCTGATCTTGTTCAAGATTACGTAAGATACTAAATATTGAGTATAATCTTCTGTACATGAAGATCGCAAGTAGATGTCTCTGAGCTACCATTTTGCTACGCTGCTAAGCTTACAAATTTAGGAGGAGACATTGCGGAGAGCTTAGAGTCGTCTCATTTTGTAAAATAAAGTGAGCTCTACAAAACCTGTGGCGAGCTCAACGAATAATAGTTTATAGTTTCATCGTTATAATCGAGCAAAGTTGGAATTTTCAAAAAGAGTTGCTGCCAAAATAGCAAAACAGAAGCGAGATTTCATAAGATCTTGTAAAATCTTATGACAAGAGCTCGTATAAATATACGAGAAAATCACAAGATCTCATAATATTTCATCAAATCTTGCAGAGCATTTACCTGGTTCTTCTCACAAACCTCTTCAAAATATTTCTTTTACTCTCTAGAATGGTTTTTAGTATAGATAGGAACATAAAGGTTTGAGGATCATGTTTTGTCACGTTCGCTATACTCATGCACTGAACTTGTACACAGCTGATAAGTGACGTCGAAGAAAAATAAGGTTTGAAAGTTTACTCACAAGGATGATATTTTAAATAGCCATATACTATATATATCGTACAAACTCTTACAAGTTTCTATGACAAGAAATCATATGATCTTGTAAGATTTGTCTAATCTCTTGATAAGAAATATGAATGAGTTAGCAAGCCTCATTGGCAAGAATTTAAGAGGTCTTACATAAATCATAGCATTTCTTGTCAAAAGATCTCATAAGGTTCTTTCAATAACAGATCAGGAAGATGCGATTTGAATCTTACATGGAATTTGGAAAAACATAATTTTATCATTACATACACCTGAATTGAAAGTATAAATATAAATTAAGACTAATCAATATATTTATGAACGCTGTCAAATAGAATGAACTGTCAGCAATTAACGTGTATCTCAGTGAAATAAAGGAAAAGATTGAAACATTTGAAAATGCATTCATACCTGCATAAATTTTTCAATATTCTTTCTAATATTAACATGGGTCCAGTTGCTGATAGGATATTTAATGGTTGTCCGGAAAACAGAGCAAATATAACGCCGCAAATAGAAGCAGCTAGAATACATTCCATAGTAGCCTAAATGGGAAACACGTTCTAGTCTAGAGGTGAGAAAATAACAGACGTTTTTTAATACCATATAGTTATCTGTTGCTGTGCCTAGCATTCCTCCAAATGCCACCACAGAACATAAACAAACGAGATATAAATATAGTGTTGTCGCTAAACATTGTAAACTAGCACAATCTGTGAAATCGGATACATAATAAGGTAATTTGTTACGCAAATCCATTATTAAACCATGAAATGGTCTTTGAAAATAAGTACAGAAAGAAAAATTAATTTTTCAATTATAGTTGAGTTAGCTACCTTTTTGATGCTGTTAGATTGGGATCTGTATGTGGTGTTAAATCAAGTACTTCAATATCTTCACCTTTATCTTCTGGTGCTTGTCGTTGTTCCTATAAGTTTATGAAAATTTATCCCACTCAGAATTATGTAAATCATTTTTTTTTCTATGTTTTACTTTGCTCATATATTGGTCAGGTGGTTCAATTCTAATTGCTGGATCCCATTCGCTATCAAAAATAAACGGTTGAAGAAGCAACAAAAATTGTACTCAAACTATACCTTGGAGGAATTACGTAGGCATCATTCATAAACCTGTCCAACATTTGCACTATTTCATCCGGATCTTTTGACAAATAGGCAAATTCACGACAAATCTGTTATTAACTAGATAAAATCAATCTTTTATTTACTTTATTTTTCTGAAACCTCACTTACATCATCGGTAAGCACAGTAGCCATTGATCTTCCGACTTGAAGTATTTGCTTTTCGATTTCTTCAGGACCAATTAACAATACGACAAAACGTGAATGTAATTTAAGTTCTAATAAACCAGGTAATTCAATGGCATTCTCCAAACGTACAAATACTATTGTGGCTTCAGTGACAAAATTCACAGGACAAATTAGAATACTTGCGCCTTCTGATTTCAAATCTAATTTTCGTTGTAATTTCACATTATATTCCTATAAAAAAAGAAAACATACTCTGTGATTTCGATTTATAAAATTTCTAGCGTTCATGTGTTAATACATCATGCAGCTATGTACGCTTAAAACGAGTAGAAAGTATATTCTAACTTCCACTTGTTCTAACTGTGGTTTTCAATTAAAGTAGCTGATTTATTTTTCTAAACAGTGTCCGAAACTTTATTAATGATTAGCTATTAGTTTTTCGAAAAAGACATATACGAAGAGCACAAAATACATGCTCAGATGTATCGGCGATAACTCTGCTCAGCCTTCTAAATAATCTATTATTAAATTTTAACCAATACTAGAACAAAAAAACAGAAATAGATGGATAAATACTTAATAACGAGATATAAGCGTCAGAGAAGTTGCATAACTGAGGACTCTATTAGTCAAAAATTACAATTAAATTATATGAAATATTTATGGTAAACGTCCTACTTTGGTATGATCGGTTTGAATCGATTGATCGTCTATTTCCGATGTGATATCATTTGTGCTAGGTTTTTTACTAAGTAAACGAGGCGCTGACAGTGCAAGTATTGATTCTGATAAATCATCGTCTACAAAATAGAACAACAAAAGAATGTGTAAAGTTTTCCTGCTCTATGTTAATCTACCTCGTCCTACGAGATTAGTCATAGTAATTGAATTAGTTGGTTGAAGACCAGTTCTGGACAGACTAACTGAACTTGCTGTCTTGGTCACGGAACGTTTTTCATGATGATGAAAATGAGGTAAACCCAATATCCATGTTAACTTTTGTGCTTTCGTTAGATCGTCCAAATATTGATTATCTACTAATGCCTGAGCAATTGCCTCTATTCAATAAAGGTAGACGTTAGACAATATATTATCTCTACGGTAGATATACATACGTGCTAAATTTGAAAAATCTGATACCGTTAAATTCAATATAACAACACTAGTGTCTGATGTGAGATATTTTTTCAAGTCTAGAAGAGCTGTCTGCATCAATGTGGCAACATGTGGTTTTGACCATCTTCCTAACACATTTTCGGCGATTTCTTCAAATCTCACCCATCTAAAGGCGTAAGAGGTAAAAGTGCTTACAATATTATAGTTAAAACTTTAAATTTAATGTTACCTGGCTTTTTCTTTCCAATATGAATATTCTTCGTCTGTCTTTCGAAGTACATCCAATTGACAAAACAATTGTGGCACAGTATCTTCAGTAATTCTACTTTTAAATAATTGTCGACTTGGCTAAAAAATGAAATATTTTTTCTGGACAGTAGAAATAGTAAAAATGAAAATCTGCCATCAAACTCAAAGTCTTCGCATAATTGATCATATGAAAGATAGAGAATAAGATAGAGGTATACCTTAATAATCGCTAATAATGATAGTGTGGATCCATAATGACTTTTATCTGTTGTTCCAGACTGTTCGATATCCAAAAAATTCGGCATATAATTTAGATATACAAAAAACTTTAATCAATTTTGTTGAGTTAGGTTCAAATATCAAGATTTTTTTACATGTACAAATCAATTCTGTTACGAACATTTAATATTCCATCACTGATATTATTGACAAATTTAATTTTTCATCGTTTCTATCAATCTATGAAATCAAACATGTCATTTTCTCTTTTCTCTTTTTTTTATCTCTATGTCTCGTTTTATTTGTCTTTAATAATCGTCATTTTCTTGTACACATAGTATCAAAACGAGTAATGTATATAGATGTATGTGTGTGAGAATATATTGAAAGATTAATGAATTTAGACAATATGTAATCATTGTCATACAATGATGGTATTGTCTTTACAATGTAAAGACAGTAAGGAAATGTTGACGTTTGTTGGCAACTTTTGTGTGAAACAAAAACCAGCTCTATCGAATAACATCAGATTTTACCGCAAAGAGCACGCGTGTTAATTAATAATACTATATTAAATATTTTATATATATTAAGGCAAAAGTACACTGAATTTTCTTCGTTTAATGTTTTTGATTTATAGAATTTTGTAAAAAAGTTTCTTTTAAATGACTACATCACTATAGCCGTTTCTTTTTGTCAACAACTCTATATTCTATTTATTTGATTATAAAAGTCTCTGAAGATCAATTTAGCGTCTTCTGTGTTGAACTATGTTTGTTAGTGATGGAACTACTAAAAATATAATCACTCTCATCATTTTCATCATCTTCACTCCACTTGTGTCACTGTTTCCTTACAGTGTTTTCTTTCTTTTTTACATTGTATCGGTGAACTAATAGCCTCGTCTATATCACTCCAGATTTCACTCATATGATTTCTTTATTCTTTTATTGGTTAATGAGTGAAGTATTTTTCCAGTTTTTTTCTAACACACTATGCGCGAAACAACTAGAAGATGTACATACTTTCTGTGTTTACGGGTATTCGCTCTTTTTTTCGACCTTGTTGAAAAATGCGGCAATTCATGTCTGATCAAACCAAGACTTTTACCAGAGATACTTCAGACATTATCTTAGATTCTAACTGATCTATAAATATTTTCAACGTCAACTTTCAGTGTGAGAGAGTTTTTAAAGTCAAACAAAGATGTGCTACATAAGATTTTAAGCATTGATCGAATATATGAAAAAGAAAAACGTATTTTTTTGGAAACAAATTTAGAATCTGAAATTGGATCTGAAGTATCTTCGGTAAAACATCCAGTCCAATCGGCCGTTGAAATTCACATTTTCTAATAAGTTGAAAAAAGAGGGTAATACCTTTAAACAAATATAAAAATATATGTTTGAATGTGACAAATCTATTTATGTTAGAAATTAGGTATGTGGTAAACAGACGTGGGAAACGATGAAATAGTCTACTGAGATGATACTCTATTAAATGTATTTAAAAGTGCTGACGTTTTGTTGCGTTTTGACACTGCTCGTTATCGATTCCCTATTGTAAAGTGCCAGAAACAAACGTTAAACATTCTACTTCTGTTGTATACATAATAGGATGAGACAAGAAGAGAGAAGAGAAACTGTCATGTCATCTTTATATTTAGTCCATTATGAAAATGATGATAGAAGTAGACATTTGCGAATGATTATTTTGTGTAACCTATCCATAAGGTCTTCGAACTGTATGGGGTCATGAAGAGTGCTGTGGACTTTTTCTCATGTTTTCAGGCTAGCTATCCATAAACAGGACGTTAAATATTACTCTCTACGGAAAAAGACTGAGAACAATATGTTAATACACAAAAAGTAGCATTCTTTAGTGTTCGATGTACAAGTTGTGTTTCTGACAGACAATAATTTTCATCGAATAAAACTAATCATGAACGGAACTGAGTCTTGTAGTGTTCTTTTAATACATTCTCAAATTACACACGCTCGAGTATCCGTGAACAGACATTAATTCTTTCTAACTCAATATTTTTACTCCTCACGCTACAATATGTAGGAGTAAGGGTACGTTCTCTATCTTTTATTTGAAAGATATAAATAATAAACGTAATTAATCAAACTTACCCTACCTCTATATAGTGCTGTTGATATACCATGTCAGTGTCGCTAAACCGTCTTTTTCCGCCGTCTAAACAAAGATACTGATTAGAGATTACATTTGTAGGAAACTAAAAATTTCTATTAATTTCAAAGTTTTGTAAACTGGAAACTAGAATCTTAATGTATGTATTAGTAAGATTATAACATGCAGTATAGATTACTGATCAACATTATACAGAATTACAATTCTATAATTCAAAGATTCTGGGTCAAGTCAGTGTCTTATCATCAGATATGCCATCAATAAACGAATATATAACATATAGCATTTGTATTTTCGAAGGAGCAAATACATGCAATAGAAAACAGGATTGTAAGCAAAGAAAAATCTAAATTCACCTCATGAGTTTTGCTCATATGAAAGCAAAAAGTAAGTGCTTAAAATCCTGAAATTTTTCAACTCTTTTCTTCCTTATACCACTAATCTACATTGGTATTCTATAATTAATTTAATTCAGTTAAATTGCAATGATTTTCTCACTTAGCTCTTCAATCCCAAAAAATGGCACAGAAAACACACAAGATCATGCAGAATCAAATCTCTGTCTCTGTTAACTCTGGTATCTGTTTTTTTTTTATATAGATTTGAACTTTCGGTACATAAAATTGTTTTTTTAAACAGTTTGACACCCTCTGATGAAAACCGCCTTTGAGGACGACTGCAAATATGCAAAAGCGAAATAATTATATTTTGTTATTATTATACTCAGGATTACATTTCATTTTTCAAACAGAAAAAGTCTGAAAAATGTCAAGATTATGTGACTGCTATTGTTATTGTTTTAAGCTGAAGTTTTAAAGTCACTAAATTATAATGTAAAACTTAATCATGAAGACATTTGATTTATGGGAAAGACATTATTTTATTACCAAAATACATCATCATTACGACCGGTTTGCCGTTTTAAGAATGTTTGACTGTAGATAGAATACCTAGGCAGTTTGTAATGACAAAGAGAATGTAGAGGAAATGTCCTCTGTTTTGTCCACAAACTGAACGTGAATACAGTTAATGAGCAAATTTCCTTCGAAAGAAATGTATTTAGTTGTATAAAGATCTTTCGATACTTTCGCTTTTTGCTTAGATCTTAGACAAGTCTTCTTAAGATCACGAGCTCCAAAAATCTTTAAGATTTGATGAAATATTATATCTGTATTATTTACGTACATGCGTACATCAATATATTACCCAAGTGTCAAAAAAAAATCTAGTATCGATTCATCTAGATTACTAGATTTTTACTCGATTGCAACTACTGTGTAGCGACAGTGGAAATCTAGTAATTGGGTGATTACTAGATTTTTTCTAGTTGCAACTATCGATTTATCGCTCGATAATCGCTCGATTTAACTATTGCTAGTTGCACATGCAGACGCATTTAATTAAAAGTCCCTTTTCCAACTAGTAATCTAGATGGCAACTAGTCGTGTATCGCTCGATTCTGGACGAAATATGTCTAGATTTTTCCCATAGGTGATGTTTGCTTGGGGTAAATATGGCGAGCGTCCACAAAAAATTCAAAATAATATCTCAACCATGAAAAATAATTTTTTATAAGATACTATGGATAAGACATTGCATCTTCACCACATGACTATCATTTTATGAGGAGTGCCTGAGTATATTAATACGAACTTACGCTATCAAAAAAATAAAAATATTCTAAACGAAAATATTTTAAAATTTTTTCGTTATTTTAGTTGAGTGTTACTATAATACTATAATAATATAGTAAAAGATATATGTACCAGTTGAGTGTTAAGTCTATGCACAATGAATCATGTTGCTCATTTCTCTTTACTTTCAACTCTTAACTTCTCTATGAAAAAAGTTGGTTATAATCCAACTATAAGCGAAACATCATTAGTTCAGTCAGAAAAATGACGAGAAAGGAAACAGAAAAGGGACGTGGAAGACAATGTTCGAAGATGAACGGTTAAAATTCACTTTCAAAATCCACTTTCAAAATTCAACATTAAAATTTTGGTTTTTACGCATGCAACGATGCAATTAACCGTTAAACTTTAATCTCTTTTTTCATCTTGTTGACCGGATGTAGGTTTGGAAAAGCTCGTAATATATACTAAATAGTGGCACCAGTGTTTTGAGTATGACATCAAAAAGGTCACTTTTCAATGATAGGCATAATGTGATGAAAAACCATTGAAAATTTTTATAAGGTGTCTCATTGAAAAGAATGCTTTCCTCTATTAGACTATCCATAGCAAAAATGTTAAAGGCAATAGAATGGAAAGAAAAACTTCCAGAACTGAAAAGAATTATCTTCTTCATCTTTCTGATTAGAAACTTCAAATACTCATAACTTTTGCAAAAAAAGGTTGCAGAACTCTAGAAATGGTCTTATTTTTCAGCTCAAATTTTTCTCTACATTCAACTCAGAATCAAAAATTTTTTCTCAAAGAGAGAAAATACTTTTAACTGCTCAACAACTATCCATCTCCACAACTATCAGCACTTCTCATTCTGTCTCTCTCACGTACTTTAATTGTAGATAAACTTTATCATCGAGTAATTAGATGTCTAGTTCCTTTCTTCTAGGCTCAGTCATATTTGCGATTAATATTAATCATTATGGGACGGCTTTTTCATACAATAAGATACTCGAGTTAATGAATGATTTGTAGATGATGCAAAGTATAAACTGTCCATATATTTTTTAATCGAGAAACTGTTTTCTTTCTTTATTGTACAATGTGTGGTTTTTCTCATTCAGGAAAGTAACAGACAACCGATAGTATAATGGTTTTATAACATAGAACAGAACTAGCTTCTTGAACAGGCTCCAAATCAGAAACTCGAATGGATTTTGAAATGTGATACGCTAAATTGATAGATGTCTTCCTAAATTATACAAAGGTCTCTTTTTATAGGCCACTAACACTCAGAAAAAAGC